CTCTCTCTCTCTCTCTCTCTCTCTCTCTCTCTCTCTCTCTCTCTCTCCCTGTCTTGTGGATGAGACGTAAACTCTTTCTGTTGTCATACTCCTCACCATGATGATCATGATCATGGATGCTATCCCTCTGGAACTGTGAGCTCATGGTGTTTTGTTACAGGAACAGAAAAGTAATTAAGACACTCAACGTGTGTAGTCACAGGACTCTGAGGACTGAGGCAGGAGAACCATTACAAGTTCTTTGTCAGCTTAGGCTATATAATAAATAATATCGTAGTTTGTCTTATATAGCAAGACCTTGTCTCAAAACACACTCACACAAACACACATTTAAAAATGAACAATATTATATTTCAGACCCTTGATTTCTGTTAACTTTTGGTGTTGACTTACCAGATGAAGTGGAGGCTGATTTTCTGAAAGTCTTTGTCCAAAAAAATTCATGTTTCTTCCCCTATCACCGCTTCTGAATCCTGTATATTATTTGACAAAAGTTATTTTCTGTCTTTACCTCAGTGAATTCAGCAGCTTTCAGAATGAGTTTTTATACAACATTCTTTCATAACCCTCACAGTGTCTGATTGTCTCACTGAATTCCACAACCGCTTTTGCCCGTCTTATCTAAACTTACTATTTAGAAGGAGCAATCATCATTTTACACACTATTTAAGATTTGGTTGTATATGGTACAAAGTTGGAATTAATTAAAATAAATTGCCAGCATAAAAAGGAGAGATGGGAAAATGATGCTTTTTATTAATCATATCAATATTTGTCTTAATTATCTACTTTGCTTTGGATATAAAGATAGCTTAGGAAATATTTATAAAATATGATCTGGGAATATAGTTCAGTTGGCAGACTGTTTTCTTAGCATTCACAAAATCGCTGTTTGATCTCTAACACAACATAAAACTCAGTGTGCTAACCCATATCTGTAGTATTGGCACCTGACAGGTAGAGGCAGGAAGATCAGAAGTTTAACGTTATCCTTGGATACACAGCAAGTCGGAAGCTGGCCTGTAGTACATACAATCCTATCTCAGAAAAACTAATTAAAAAAATACAAATCTCTGAAAAGCTTATGAAGGTCAATTTTAGGTTTTATTGGGAAATACATGAGAACAGACTTTCTTACCTGTCTTAGCTGTACTGCCCCTACAATAACTAATCTCTGTTTCTCATTAGAGAATGAGTCCCTGAAAGATTCATATGAGGGCTGCAATAGATTTGGGTAAGCTTGCAGAGGCTTGCAATATGCACTGTGTTAAGATGGTGATTAACAGCTGAATACACCAGAGAGACCCTTAATTGTTGAAAATACATCTTTACAGTGATAATCTGTACAGCATGTTTATACTAAAATATGTTCAGTGCTCCAAACAAGGCTCTTAGGGCTCTAGGAAACGGGCTTCATATCCTACCTCATTCTCTTTACCCAGTGACATTCCATTATAAAAAATGTGGCTGCTAGAGTTGTAAGGTTATTGATCATGTTCTTAACATCCCTGTACTGCCTCCTAAAAGTGGACCAACTAGGCGAATCTAAAACAGTTACTGCCTCCATTGTTAATTTTTCACCATGTTCTCCATTAGAAAAGTAACTCATTAGTTAAACATTTCTTTCATTTGATCTGGAATAAATTCTTACCAATCCTGTACAAGTCCATTTCTGAGGGAAATAAAGCATGTAACACAACATATTAGAACACTGAAAGTTCTAGAATTCGCATGTTACTTTATGCCATGTGTGCTTTTTGAAAATGTACTTTACCTCTCTCCTGGAGATAACGATGGATAAGGGTTCGCTCTCTGGAGCCTCGTCTATGTATGTCATTCTCCCCATCATATTCCTCTTCAGTGTTAGCGGCTTCAAGATATCTACGGAGCCTAATTTCATCTGCACCAGAAATTACAGGAAAATGAAGAAAATGGAAAAACTCAAATGACAATAATTTGTTCTTAGTAAAAAATCTACAGCAAAGTTCACTGTATTTCAGAACATATAGAACAGCTGCTAACCCTTAAAAAAAACTCTAACACTAGAATAGCAATAAATTTGGAAAACCACAGCAACTGCAAACAGAATTACAGGCAGTTGTGAAGCACCTAGCTTCCACGTGGGAGCTAAGCGCTGGTTCTTGGAAGGAGAAAGCACTCTTAAAAAAGAAAGTTAGACCTTATTTCAAAAATTAATTCTTTTAACTTTTCATACAATCTGTTTTGACCATATTCACCTCTTCCCATGACTCCTCCCAGAACCACCTCCCATTTCCTTCCCTAGTGGTGTAGGAGGTCCTACTACACCCTAGCAACTCAACTTTGAGTCCTCCTATTTTTAAAATGCATCAACTCCAATCTGAGCTTCCCACACATATGTATGTAGCCATCTGCTTGAGTGGGAGTGACATGCTAGGGCTATACCCTTGAATAAAACTGACTTTCCTCACCAATCAGCTATCAGTTGCCAATAGAAATTACCCATCTCTCCTCAACATGTCAGGAATTCATCTAGTCTGATGTACTGTGCATGCTGTCACAATCATTTCTCCAACTCCATGAGATGCAGCAAGTTCTAAAAGGAGTCTCATTGAGACTCATGAAATAAATTACTCAGAAAGTCCTTGAAATTGACCAAACAGATATATAAGGCCCTCTCACCTCTCACTGTTTATATAAACAGTAGGAACTGCTGGAGACCTGTACTGGAGTAGCAAATCTACTGTAAAGCTGTTGAGCTGCCTACAAGATGGCAATGGGTCCCAGAGTCCCGGCATTCCTGAACTGTCATTGATGTTAGGATGGGATTTCCATGATGCAGCTGCTTTTAAGACATTCTTTCTTCTGTGAGTAATCTCTCATTCATACTTTAATTAGTAACCCCAATAAACTTACTGGTTCATCAAACTGAACTTCAGGGTTATCTTTATTTTAGTCTGTTGTTGGTTCCCTATATGTGGGGACTATGTTCATGCTTCCCCAGGATTTAGGTCACACAACAATGCATGTGTGTGTAGGTGTACATGTGTGGAGGTCAGAAGACATCCTCATGTGTATGCCTCACCTTTCACCTTTTTTGAGACAGGGTCTGTTATTTGTTGTGTATTTCAGCCTAGCAGGCCCTTGGAGCTTCTTGGGATTTCTCAGTCTCTGCCTCTCCCGTGGCTGTGATTATAGATGTGTGCTATTATGCAGTAACTTATGAGGATTATGGACATTAATTAACCTATGTTCTTAAGCTGGCAAGGCAAATGTTCTATCTGTGGAGTCATCTCCCCAGATATTTTCCTTTTATTTTTCTGTTTGCTTGAGAAAAGGTTTTGTTATATAGGCCAAGCTGGTCTCAAAGAGCACTAAACTTATCCATAACTCTTTAATATTGGGGTTATAGGCATGTGCCACCACTCTCAGAAAGTTTCTTTAACTAATATAAAAGCTTTTCCATCAAACAGATTCATGACTTCATTTACAGGCATACAAATAAATGAACAAAAGGCTTTCACGTTATAGTAGTTCAATAGAGAGAACATTTAAACAAGTGCTTTTACCCAGTATTATTTTAGTTTCAGAGAAATAGCATCATTCCTGAGTAAATGCCAATGTAAGACAATTAGTTATATGTATTTTCTTGAACAAAACAAGTTATACATGAGAAAATACTTCGTAATCTGTCACCTATGCACTCAGAAAGAGAACGCTGACTTAGTTAAATGTTCTCCGTGGTGTTATTTGCCTCAAACAACTTAAGATATCTGATGTTTTAATCAAAATACTCTCCAACTCAAACTGCTCCCTTTAAATTAAAAGTAAAAAAATGAAAAATTGCTCCCCCAAATATTATGTAATTAAATCTGTTTACTTTTCACCTCACCCATAACTTTATAAAAGACAAGTTCAGTCTTCGTGATACCTAGTCAACACAAAAGTAACCCTAGAACTTTAAAAATCCTTTTCTTTTGAATATGTAAAATATGGACTTATTTTTCCTCTCAGTTTGGTCTAATTTCAAGTAATCCTTGCATCCATAAGACTATGAATGAGCAAACACCAAAGCATAAGTAGGAAATAATAGTCAAGCCATGGGAGAAAAAGTCCACATTTTAGATGGGATGAAATTTTCCCCAACAGAGTATTTTTATTGGTTATTTGGGAATTTTATTCAATGCACCCTGATAACATTTGAGTTCCATTTCTCTAAGTTCCACCCTCCTACATTGTGCCCCCACAAAAAAGAAAAAGAATACACTACATCCAATATACTCGTTGGAGCATCACCAAGCTCCCAGTGTCTAACCCCTTAAAGATAACTGAGTTCTTCCCCACTACACCTCAGCCAGAAGCCTTCAACTGTGAAAAGTTATACTTCAGCAGCTTTATCACATTTTTTAAGGATTCTTTTCAATGTATTCCTGTCTAGATTGTTTCTTTTTCTTTTCTTTATTTTTTTTTGGGGGGGGCGATGCCACAAAAACCTTCATTTTCTATTATTTTCAATTATGAGTTTGCAGTCATTGATACTACTGCAAATGAAGGCTTCTTGCCCATAAAAGCCAAAGGCAACAGCTGGATCACGGACTTCCACATTGTTTCTGGTGACAGCATGGACCATGAACATCCACATGGCCTCTGGTAGCAGTATGGAATAAGGACACCAACATAAAATAAGGTGGCTGCACAGAGCATAGATTCCAATATGGTCTTTGGTGGTAACATGGACCATGAACATCAACATATTCTTATAGACAGCAGCTCCCCACCGCCTGAGGCCATGTTGATGTTTTTGGTCTGTACTACTGATTAAGCCCAGGTCAATGCCAGTGGTCTATGTTGCCACTGATATGTGCTTTTAATATGAGCATCTGGGATATTCATTTCCAACAGGATGACAGCTGCAGTCTGTATTCAACAAATGGTTAGATGGTTCATATCCACTATTTGTCTAACAGCATCAAGATGTTTTGACTCATACTAATTGGTCAAGAAGAGAGAAGGCAGATACATATGCTGTGGGAGCCCCTTCAGGCAATAGTCTTTACAGTACCAGTCCACTAGGGTGTGGTCTCTTATACTATAAATTCAGCTGTAAGCCTGCATTCTCTCTCTTGCTTCCAGCTGCTAGACTCTGTTCCTGTTCCCCTTTTGTGGAGAGGACTGTTATCTAGGAAAGTGACCTGTGCATCTCCCCTAAATAACCTATTATTATCCATAATTCTGAACTAGTGTGAAATTATTTTGTATCTTCTGTCACCATACATACTCTGAAGTCCACCCAAATATATAATAGACAGACCCTCTTGATTTGATAACACCTTATACTGTCACTTACCTTATACTGTCACTTATTTATCCTTAATCTAAGGTTGTGTACCACTTTGGAATAGTAAAAGGTGATGAGATTTAAGTTTTCTTCAAAATAGTACTGCTTTCACTTAATTTAGATCTCTAAGCGATAGAACTGGCTTTACTATAAAATATCAGTATCATGTAATATCAGCTCAGCTTTTAAAAAATTATTTTTCTCTCTCTCTGGAGTGTGTAGGGGTGTGTGTGCATGTGCATATGTGTGTGTGTTGTAAAGGCCTGAGGTTCATGTCTGGTGTCATCCTCAATCATTTTCCACCTTGGTTTTGAAACAGAGTCTCTCAATCAAACTGGAGCTCACTGATTGGGGTATAATGAATATTCAGAAAGTCCCAAGATCCTCCTGTATTGGTGCAGGAGAATTGTCTGTATTCTATCAATCATGTTTTAAATAAATGCTGATTGGCCAGACAGGAAGTATAGGTGGGTCAACCAGACAGGAAGTAGAGGCGGGGCGATAAGAACAGGAGACTTCTAGGAAGGAGGAAGCCCACTCCTTCCAGTCCTTCTCAGATCACCAAAGAAGCAGGATGTGACCTGCCCCACTGAAAAAGGTACTGAGCCATGTGGCTAACATAGATAAGAATTATGGGTTAATATAAGCTACAAGAGCTAATGAGAAAGCTGAGGTAATGGGCCAATCTGTTTATCATTAATATAGACTTTCTGTTTGATTATTTCAGTGCTAAATTAGCCAGGCAGCCGGGGGTGACAAGCAGGCCCTCATGTTACACTGTATGTGTCCTCCCATACCAGTGCAAAGATTACAGGTACACCATAATATCCAGGTTTTTTATGTGTGTCTTGGTAATCCAAAATCAGGTCCTCAGGCATGTGTGATAAGCACTTTACTAACCGACAATTCTTGTAAGCTGTTGGAATCTATTTTAATCTACACATCACATATTAAAAGGAAACTGAATTTCCTCTAGTGTTTTTCCATTTTTGTTATATTTATTTAACTAATTTCAGGTGAAGTCACTTGTGCCAGGGAAGACACACATACAATATAGAAGGAAGCACATCCATAGAAGAAAGAAAGACAAGTTCCATAATAGAAAACAGCGGTATGTGTGGTGGTGGTGGCATATGCCTTTAATCCCAGCACTCAGGAGGCAGAGGCAGGCAGATCTCTGTGAGTTTGAGGCCAGCCTGGTCTACAAGAGCTAGTTCCAGGACAGGCACCAAGTGCTGGGAATAAAGGATGCACCACCACAACCCGACATGACCATCTGTGTTCATGTCCACCTTGTAAATATATCTTTGTTTCAGAAGGTTATTATTAGCAACTTGTTATGTTTATTTTCTGCTTCTGTAACCCTATTTGCCTACCAAATCCCTCATTTGGAAACCCCCGTCTTCTGACCTGTAAAAATTCTTATCTCACTCATGTCCAATGCTGATGTTTTGAATCCAGATATTAGGTAGAGAAATCCCATGTATATGAATAAAATAAGTTTGTTTAAATTAATTTGGCCATTATGGTTTGTACTGGTGGTCTTTCTGTCAAATCTGTGGGACTACTACTTTGAAAGATGG